AGGATGTGATATCACCGGAGAACGGTGATGTCATAAGAGAGCTGTGACAGACATTGGAACTGAAACTCCCAAGTTCCATCTCTGACCCGTGGGCAGTGACTATAGACAACTTTCCACTCTCAGCTTTGCTTTCCCTTACTCACACTTATCCGGTCTTTCCTTTCTCTCCCTTATGCATTTTCCCTAAAGGTTGTCTTTATGCCATATTGCTGTAGATGAGAGATAGAGATGATAACACCCAAAATGCCAACATACCTGTTAACCAAAATTGTTCTAAAATAAACCCTACATATATATATATTTTCAAACACTAATTATTCAATGTCGTTTCACTCTAATCCACCCCAAGGGATTTATTAATAAGAACCTGGGTTACCCCTCCCTTTCTGGGGCAGGTGGTAACAGACCCCTTGTAGCAGGATGTTCTGCCTGGAAAAGGATCTGATGGGAGAATGCAAGCACTGCAAGCTCTCTGTGGGGAGTTACTGCTGGTGCCAAGGGGTTGATTTAGTGTTGAATTGTGCCAAAACCAACCTGGTTTCCCAACTTTCCAACACACATCTTGCTTTTGGAAGCAGAGTTTTACAGATCAGCTGCTCACTGGCCTGGGAAGATGGGACTGGAGATCCATCAGTGACAAAGCATAAAAGCCCAGGGCCAACTTTCCTAGAGCAGATTCTTCCACAGACTTCGTTGAAGTGTGTGCAGCTTCTGCTGTGAAGCAGAGACAGCTCTTGATGGTCACTGCCCAGGGGGTAAAAGAAAGAGGGAGATCTGCCTTGATTTATTTGTATCAGACCCCGCCGGGCCCTCCCCACTTCCTGCCGGGATCGGACACCGCCGGCGGCCATGGCCCTGCTGGGCTCCATCAGCCTGAGGAATTGCTGCCAAGGAGGGGCCGGGGGCTTCCTCTTGGGCTTCGTCTCCCTGGCGCTGGGGCTCGGCTTCTACCTGTGCCAGAAGGTGAGGGGGGTCCCAGGGGGTCGTGTGTCCCCCCCAGAGCGTCTGTGCCCCCCTGGGGACCCCCCACCCCGGTGTCACCCCCTTTTCTCTCTCCACAGAGCTCGTGAGCCGGCGGCGGCCGCAGCCCCTCCCCAAGACCTCGGGCCCAGCCTGGACTCCCCGCCATCTCCGTGAGAATTTTGGGGGGGTTGTGCGTCCCTCCCCTCCCCTGCTGTCACTCTGCCTCCGCCCGGCTGCTCCCAGTGATCCCAGGAAAGCTTCCCAGTTCTCCCCAGTCCCACTCATTGGGGGGCAGTTGAGGAGGGGTTTGGGGGAATTCCAAGGGGTGGGAACCGAGTTTGGGGGGGGGCAGAACCGGCCCCAGGATGGATCGGGAATGGGGACCCCCTGTGTTCCCCCTGTCAGCCCGCTCTGGGGGGGCTCTGGGAGGGCACTAACCCCTCAATAAGGCACCCAGCACACTTCGAAAGGTGCTGGAAACCCCCTAAACCTCCACACAGGCTCTGGAGGACTGCCTAAACACACTCAGAGCCCACCCAGGACCCTGCACAATTGTTTCTGGGGGACTTCTCTGGGTACTGGTGGTGCTGGGAACCCCCTGGCTGCGGGCGAGGAGCTCTCAGGTGAGTGGGGGGTGGGAAGGGGGCGGTCAGTGGGAAAAGGGGGGTCAGAGGGGATAAAGGGGTGGTGGGACCCCAAACTGAGTGGGAGGGGAGTGGGACCTCTCAAAAGTGGAGGGAGGAGGGGCACTGAGGATGATGGGAAATGGGTGTGAGAGGTCAGAAGAGTGGGGAAAGGGGAGGGTGGACCCCCAAACTGAGCATGAGGGGGCTGGGGAGTGGGGGGTTGATGTGGGAGGGGTGGGAGAGGAGGGAAAAGTGGGGGTTGGGACCCCCAGGATGATCCTGGAAGGGGCTGGAGATTGAGGGGAACATGAAAAAGTGAGAGGAACAGGGAGAGGGTGGAAAAGGGGGCGGTAGTGTGGTGGGTCCAAAGGTCCCATGGGGGTCTTTGGGCACCAGGTTTTGAAAAACGGGGTGGTTCCCCTGAGCTCCCAATTTACTGTGGGGTGCTGGGGGCTCCTGGATCCAATCTCAGCCTTGAATCTTGCCAATATTTTAAGTTTAGAGGAATTACAGAGGTGTAACTGAAACACGTTTGTCCCACAGGTTTTAATGATGGCAAATCAGACCTGTTAATAGCAATGAATTATTTAGGGTTACAAATGATCAGACAAAAGACCTTCATCAGAATTATTTACTGCACAAGAGAAACACTAAAACTACCAGGAGTACAGGATAAGATAGGACAGTGCTCTACACTAAAGCAATTGTTGAAGCCATTCTACTCAAGCTGACACAAAAGCAAGAATTCTTAATTAGAGATGGATGGAACTCCCCAAGAGCAACGCTCGTGGGGAGATCTCTGCTCTCAACCTCCAGCAGTGACCTCGGGGGGTCCCCAGCCAAGGCAGGAATCTCGACACAACCCCCAAGAAGGGTTCTGTTGGAAGAAGCTGCCCCTGGGAAAGGGGACTGGCCCTTTGTGGTGGAAAGGGATGGACTGACAGTCACTGGACTCCAGGGGTCGCCTCACCATCAGGGGGTTCATTTGGGGTGGAAGCAGCGGCCGAAGCTCTTCCTGCAGTCGGGGCACTGGTAGGGCTTCCCTTACTGGTGGGTCCTTTGGTGTCTGGTAAAGGCAGAGCTGTCACTGAAGCTCTTCCCACACTCCCCACACTTGTAGGGCCTCTCCCCGGTGTGGATGCGCCGGTGGGTGACAAGGGTGGAGTTCCGCTTGAAGCCCTTCCCGCAGTCGGTGCAGCGAAAGGGCCTCTCATCCGTGTGCGTCCGCTGGTGCAGGAGGAGACTGGAGCTGGTCTGAAACCTCTTCCCACATTCCCCACACCTGTAAGGCCGTTCACCAGTGTGGATGCGCTGGTGGGTGCGGAGGTTGGAGCTGTCCCTGAAGCTCTTCCCACATTTCCCACATGCATAGGGCCGTTCCCCAGTGTGGATGGCCTGGTGTCGGATCAGGTTGGAGCTGTAACTGAAGCTCTTCCCACATTCCCTACATGTGTAGGGCCTCTCCCCAGTGTGGATGTGCTGGTGGATGAGGAGCTGGGAGCTCTTTCCAAAGCTCTTCCCACATTCCAAGCACAGGAAGGGCTTCTCCCTGCTGGGAGGCTGCTCAGGGTCCACCAGCTCAGAGCTCCCCCTCAAGCTCTGGCCGCCTTCCTGGCACAGGCTGGCTCTTTCCTCCTCAGAGTACCCTGGGTTGGCTTTGGAGCCCCTCCTGTGGGGGGATCTCCGGCCCTTTTCCTCCCCGCTGCCTTCCTGCGCCGGGGAGCCCTTCAAAACGGCCTCTCCCACCAGGGTCTCACGGGGGGATTTGTCCTCCGGGCTCTCCGTCCTCAGCTCGGGGCCTGGGGCAGGAAGCAAGAAGGACAGGGAGGGGATTTGCCTCCGGCCCACAGGGAAGGCCAAGGACATCCCCCCAACTCCGGCCCCGGCAGGACGGCGGCGGCAGCGGGGTTGTCCTGCAGCCGGGGCCATGCTCGGCTGACAGAGCCAGCACAACACCCGCCCAAAGGGCCACTGACTTCCTCCTCACCTGCCTGGGGGGCCCAAGGCATCTTCCTCTTCCTCGCAGCCTCCTCCTCCATTGGTCAAGCTTTGGGAAGGACAAATCCTGATGGGGGGAAAACAAGGGCTGAGCGCGTTGGTTTGGGGGTTCCTCCTGCCCAAGTCCATCCCTAGAACTCACCGGGCATCCTGTGTCCATAAAAACCTCCAAAATACCAAGACTCAGACCAGAAAAACCCAAACCACCAAGATTCAGGCAAAAAGCTCCTCAGAAATAGCAAGATGAACCCCTCTCCAAACTACAAAATGTTAAGATTCAGCCAAAATATACTCCAAAATATGAAGATTCAGCCAAAAAAAGGTGTTTAATTGGGAGGATGAGGGGAGCGAGGTCACTTCATGAGCACTTGATTGAGTTGCTAAATATTATTCAAAAGCTGAATTAACGTAGTGTCACTTAAAACTCATTTTTTTCTTCCTAGTTTCAGTGTAGAGAATAAATATGAAATCCCTGGACTTCAGGCCTGGATCATTACCCCTGTGCTTTGGAGTGCAAATGTTTTCTCCTTCCACTTCTCCCCTGCCATTGTTTCTGACAACTGCATTCCTCTGCTGTGCTGTGCCAATCTCCTGGGATGTGCAGTTTCCATGTTTGCAAGGATTAAAGGCTACTTTTTGCCTCCCAGTGCCAAAGGCTGGTCTGTGAAGTTTAGTGTGAGAGAACCCTGGGCAATCAGACACTGAAATTGTTGAGCTGCAACGGGCCATGTGAATGGAATGACAGAATCCATTCTGCTGGCCCAGACACAGAACCCAAGATCTGGCTGTGGCTCTTTGCCTCACTGTGTCATGGTTTGAGATAGCCCCAAAATCCAATTCCCTAGCTCCATCCCCCCTCCCACATCTCAACCTAATGTGAGATGGGTTTTTTTTCCAGACAAAACACAACCAGACTCAGAATGGGGGAAAGGGAATATATTACAATGACTGTACAAATAAATACTATAACACATTATACACACGATCACAACTATCTCTACCATGACATATAGTATTTACAATGGATCAGATCTCCTCTCCCCTCCAAATAAAAGTCCAGGAGGGAAAGAAGGACAGATCCTTTCCAGTCTCTCAGGGCAGCAGCATCTTCTAAGGCAGCAGGTTCTCCTCATCTCATGCATGCAGCAGTAACTGGATTGTTGTAGCTGGATCTCTGTTCAATACACACAAGGGGGTCTCCAACCCCCTTGGCCCGTCGTCTCCAAAACGAGGGTCTTTCTCTTCCGTGGACTGCGTAGCAGGGACAAGCTCGCGTCACCACGTCATACCACGAAGCTCAGGGGTCTTCGTGGCAGTCCCTTTCCTCAGGGGATTCAAATTCCCCTTTGCAGAGCTCCGTGCTCTGTCTCAAGGCTGCTGGCTTAGCAGCAGCAGCGAGGGGGGCCAAGGTCAACCCCCCCCCGCATTCCTTCTCCGTCCCGGTCCAGCTTCAGGACGCCTTTGAGCTTCTCAGCTCCTCTCTGCAAGTGCTGTAGCACTCCAAGGCTCTTTCAAGCAAGAGTCCATCATCTTCCTCCTTCCAGGAGGTTTCAAGGAGTTTGGGGGTTTGGTACAGTTCCTACCCCCAGAACTCTGAAGTTCTGCTGCGGGCTCTCTTCTGCTGCTTCCTCCGGTTCAGTTCTTATCTGTCCTGGCTCTTATCCAGAGTCTCTGGACACTGCCGCCGCTTCTGCTCTGTCTCTGTAGCCCCCAACTGGGGCTGGGGGGGGGCAGAGGCCCCGAGGGGCTCCGGTCCCCTTTCCTCGTGGCTGTTACATCATGGCTACTTCTTCTAACCAGCCAAACTACAACCCCTTCTCTTCCGGTGCTTGTGATATGTTTACATTTCTGCAGGAGCGCTAATTGGGCAGAACTTCAAAACTTCCAGGGGTCTCCACCCCTGGGGGTTACCACTTTTTCAGGCTCTGGGGGAAAACAAGGTTCAAACCACTACACACTGGCACCATCCTCTGTGGTTCCTGCTGCCCACCATGGCACTGGCACCCCAGGGGCACAGGTACGTCCATCCTGTACATGAAGTCAGTGTCAGACTGTTCACAAGTGTTAGCAGGAGTAAAACAGTGCACTGCTGACCTTCTGGAATTTATCTCTGTTAATGCCTGACTTCACTTGGCCAATCTGTGTTCTCTTGCACAGCGTTACGTGGGTTTATGATTTTCATTATCACTGCACCAAATTAATCTGTAATGTGTGGTCAGAACAGTAATTACCTGTATTGGTGTATAACTGTGTGCCCTTCTATTTTTCATGCTTTCTGGCAAATTCACTGACAACTTCTTTACGACTACACGATGGGGACTGAATTTAAGGTTGGGGGGGTTTCCTGAGGGCAGCACTACACCAGACTTTTGTGTGTGTGTGTGAGACAGGCAGAAGCACAAATGCCTGCACAGCCCAGAGCAGTCAGTGTGGGGCTGTGCTTGCTGCTGCAGAGACCCCCAGGGAACAAACCCAGGCAATAGTTTGGGTTTATTCCTTCCTCTGTGTCAGTGGAATAGAATGTTCCACAGGAGCTCTGTTCCCCTC